ACACACACACACACACACACAATTTTATGATGATGTGTCCATGACTGTAGTTCTGGAAACCACGATTTTAAAATATTTTCAAGACTCTTAGTACCTTGAGTCATTCTCAACAGCAAAAAATGTCTCTATCACATTACTACAACCATGCTAACACGTTTTAAACACACACTGCACAGTTTCATACACGCATGATCGGAGCTAATGAGATCTGCTCTGATCTGCTGGCATGCAGACACAGCAACTCATGAAACAGCAGTGCGTGGGACATCAATGAGCTTGTTACATTGTTTCATTTGACTGCATTTTTCTGGCCTGGCTCACCTGATTGATGTGCTTCAGTTTATCAATGACTTGACTGATCACCGGGTCGGCCTCCTTCACTTTGACTTCTGGGTTTTCAGCCTGGGCTTTAATGCCGTTGCCAACCACTCGGAGAGTGTAGCTGTAAAGACAAAAAAGGGTGAAGAATAAGAGACGGTTGTTCGTGGTGAGTGGGTGTCGTTTCTTTGGATTCTTTTCCAATTTTTCAGCGCAAAGGCGACTGAAGCTTTGTTGTTGGCATGATGAGGAAGGCCTTACATGAACCGACTACATTTATCAGCACAACAAAGAAAGAGGCGTAAAGAATCCCTGAAAAACCCACAAGGGCCTGAAATGGGACGAATAACTCAAGCCACACTAAAAAGCTATAGGACTCCAGGCTGAGAGACAGATTGGGGTTTATGTGGGGCAGAATGGATGTGTGCTGTGATGGGCCACAGATAAGACGCACTAGTGCAGAGAAAGCGCTGCTGACAAATGACAAGAAATATTACAATTCTTTATGGGTGAATTCGTTTTACACCAATGGTCAAATCAGTCCGTCCTATTGAGACTCACCTTGAGAAGGACACGTAAAAAGTAAAGTCTTCAAACAGTGAGGGAAATATATATGAATGAGTAGGAAAATGAGCAGTGGGCTAAGGTAATCGACTTTATTTACAGGCAATAAACAATAACTCTTCACGAATCCTATGAAACTGGGACTGGGCTTTTTAAATAAGCATAGTAAAATGAACATTTTTAGTTGTAGTGTAAATTCTAGGGCTGCAACTAACGATTATTTTGATAATCGATTAGTTGGCCGATTATTTTTTCGATTAATCGGATCTTCTTCCTTTTTTTGACAAAAAACACTTCCACATTCTGCCCAATGTCCTTTAAACAAACGTGTCAACTGAATGCTATGAAAATAGTGCTTAACAATTTATTAGACACACTATGAAATAATATATTTATTATATTACATTTATTAGCATTAACTAACAAACTATACAATTTATTATTATCATTATTATTATTATTATTATTGTGTGTGATATTACATTTAATAACTTACAACAAATAAAATATCACATCGATAATAATAATAATTTGATATTTATTTGTTATAATGTTACTACTACTACTAATTGTTATTATTATACTGTTGCTAAATGTATTACTACTACTATTATTGTTATTTTAATCATTATTAATATATAATATAAACATACATGATATATATATATATATATATATATAGATATTCATTTTTTTTTTTTTTGGAATATTAAATGGATGGTGACAATGTGTTAGTGACACTGTGGAACCACAACGCTGAAAGCATTAAATTAAGTCCAGTGATTAGTTTTCTGTGTTTTAATGAATGACTAGAAGAAGAAGAAGAAGAAGAAGAAGAAGAAAAAGGAAATAAATAAATAAAATAAAATAAAATAATAATTATTATTATTTTATTTTTTTTGCTAATATAATACTTAAAATATCATAGTGATGTAATATTAACATTGTTAATTAACACATTTTATTTACATATAGATATAAAAACAGCTCATCATCAGCTTAAAATTAGTGATGGAAGGTAAAAAGAAATACAGTGTTTATTATATTTACAACCACTCAGAACAACTTAGCAACCTAATATAAACAATAAAATCACATCACAATTGTATAGCAATGTGATGAAATCTCTGTCAAAAGATCTAAAAAAAATAAACACCTCAAAAATAAATAAATAACACCATAGTATTTTTATAAGTCAAATATACTATACTGTTTTGTGGTATTTAAAAAAAATGTTTTAACACACCATGGGCCTATGATTTCCGCAATGCAGAAAACGCAGACAGAATCGCGGAATCCAGTCATAAAAATTGAATTTACTGTATAATGCAGAATGTCACAGAATTTGCCAAATTTGGATGAATTAATCAAAAGAAGGTCAGTACACTTAAATCAAAACGTGATATGGACTTGTGTCTCTGAATATTAAGCAGCAAAAATACCATTTAAACATGAATCCTGCATGTTCTGCGCGTCTCTGTGTGAATGAATGGCGCAGATGTGCAGTTTCGTTTACTACATACATACTGAAGCGCGTGACACACACTGTGTTTTTAGCCTCTGCCGCCTCAATATGAGCACATGAACACATGAACATGATCTCTAGAACTGCTCTGAGAGTTACTTTATAAGCATTTTACCGTTTCTTTTGAGTTAAACTATCGTCATATCATATACAAATAGAAACTTAAAGTTCCCTTTCAGTCGGTCACTACGAGTCACGTCTTGACTGACGAATTGGGATTTTGCTTCGAGAGCATTTTTGAATGCATCCGTCCACGAGATTGGTTTGCAGCGATCAACCTGAAGGACGTGTACTTTCATGTCTCAATTCTCCCTCGGCACAGGCCATTTCTCCGCTTTACGTTCAAAGGACGGGCATATCAGTACAAGGTCCTTCCCTTCGGGCTGTCCCTGTCGCCCTGCGTCTTTACGAAGGTTGCAGAGGCGCGGCCCTTGTTCCCATGAGAGAACACGGCGTTCGCATTCTCAACTATCTCGACGACTGGCTGAGTCGCGGGACCAGTTGTGCGAGCACAGGGACATGGTGCTCAGTCACCTCAGCCAGTTGGGACTTCGGGTCAACTGGGAAAAGAGAGCACGCCTCACAGAGGAACGTGATCTACGAGGCGTGCCTATACCTTGAAGTGGAACCTGTTCGTTGAATGGTGCTCTTCTCACCGGGAAGACCCCCGGAGATGCCCGATCAGAGCTGTGCTTTCCTTTCTCCAAGAGGGGTTGGAGCAAAGGCTGTCTCCCTCCACCCTAAAAGCGTATGTTGCCGCAATTGCCACACATCACGATCCTGCAGACGGTGAGTCTTTGGGGAAGCACGACCTGATCATCAGGTTCCTGAGGGGCGCGAGGAGACTAAATCCTCCTCGCCCTAACCCAGTACCCTCTTGGGATCTCCCTCTGGTGCTTACGGCATTGCTCTGTCGATAAAGACAGTGCTCTTAACTGCGCTGGCTTCCATCAAGAGGGTAGGGGACCTGCATGCATTTTCGGTCAACGAATGGCCCACTGGATAGTAGATGCCATCATCTTGGCTTATCAAACCCAAAGCGTGCCGTGCCCGCTTGGGTTGAGAGCACACTCGACAAGGAGTGTTGCTTCATCTTGGACTGACAGATATTTGTAGAGCTGCGGGCTGGGCGACACCAAACACGTTTGCTAGGTTTCTGGCTAACTCCTGAGACCCCGGGCCGGATATGTGCCCAAGGTTCCCACCACGCCTTTCTTTAGGACCCTTTCGTACGCAGAGCTTTAGGACCTCAGACCAGCTCTTCGTCTGTTACAGAGGCCAGCAGAAGGGAAAGGCTGTCTCCAAGCAGAGGTTGGCCCACTGGATAGTAGATGCCATCATCTTGGCTTATCAAACCCAAAGCGTGCCGTGCCCGCTTGGGTTGAGGGCACACCCAACCAGGAGTGTTGCTTCATCTTGGACTGACAGATATTTGTAGAGCTGCGGGCTGGGCGACACCAAACACGTTTGCTAGGTTTTATAGCCTTCGTGTAGAGCCAGTGTCCTCTCGTGTACTCGCCTCAAGTAGCCAGTGAACCAGAGAGACTGCTCGGTGTCTCGCTTGCTGTGCCATTCTCCTCTATTGACCGGATATGTGCGCTTATTCTGCTCTTCAGTTCAGTTCTCCCACAAGGCGAACCCTGTGGAGTTCCTCCATCATCCTCGGCAGCCGGACATGGCGGAGCGTCCGGCGCCAGGCCTAACACTCGTAAAGTTGCCTGTTAGTTAAGCCCTGTGCTAGGCTAGGTGCCATATGTTGTGAACCCCACGGTGATCCCATCTCTTGGTGAGCCTGTGTCTTTCCCTTGGCAGACTCCGCTCTGCCGACCCTGCCGGTGTTGCCTCCCTCCTAACTGGGCCAGAGCCACCTCAGAGACATTCCATATGTTGTACTGCCCTTAGTGCACAGTCCATATGTGTAATTTCCACATGATACCTCCCTGCGGGCAGGATGTGGATTCCGCTGCGTCCCTGGAAAGGGTACGATTTCCCAGTGTTATCCAATAAGTCTTACTGTATGGGTCTAGTGGAACAACAGTAATAGACTCTCTCCACGTAAGCCCTGTCCTATCTTCTGCCCCAGTTGCCGCGGGAGGACCAGGTGGCTTACTAGGTGCGTTGGAAGGGGCGGCATCCGTGGCGCTTTGGTAGGGATCCCAATTCGTCGGTCATGACGTGACTCGTAGTGACCGACTGAAAGGGAACGTCTCAGTTACGTATGTAACCCTCGTTCCCTGAAGGAGGGAATGGAGACGTCACGTCACGTCCGTCACACCAACACTCCGAGAAGCTCCTACCTGTGCACTCGTAGCTCGTCAGTCTCTCACGAAAACGACAGGTAGACCAGAACAGTCAACAACCGCTCGGCTCCGAAGCGAAAAGCTGAATATGTGTTGCACCTGCTGCCTACTTATGCTCGTGTCATGACGAGCAGCAGCTGGATGCAATTATCACATGCCAATGTGCATTGGCTCGTTTAGCTTACACACGAAGTAGATTGGCCTCTCTAAGCGAGATCCCAATTCGTCGGTCACGACGTGACTTTGCCGTTCCCTCCTTCAGGGAACGAGGGTTACATACATAACCGAGACGGTTTTCACAGCAACCCGCCAAAATAAAAGTTTGGTTTAACCTAAAGAAACTGTGACAAAAATATTACTTAATGTAATGATAGTACTACTACTACTAATAATAAAATTATTATTAAAACATTATTTTAAAATGGATATTTACCAGAAAAAATAATTTACCAGAATATATTTAGCAGAAAAATATAAATACACAACATAGTATTTCTGGATTTATATATATATATATATATATATATATAAAATCAACTCATTAGAGATGCTTTTGATTATTAATATTTAATGAATCCATTAACATGGAATCCAGAAAATTAATGGAAAAAAGAATTTTGTCAAAAAATAAAAACAAATAAATACAAATAAAACTGAATTTGAGAAGTTAAGTAAAAAGTTTTATGATTTCAATTAATTAGGCATGCTTTTGATGAATACAATTTAATTCAACCA